GCAGTGAGAAGTGAGAAGTGTGAAGTGTGAAGTGTGAAGCTTGGCGTGTGAAGTGTGGAGTGTGAAGTTTCAGTTTGGAGTGCGAAGAGCGCAGTGTGAAGTGTGAAGTGTGAAGTGTGAGGTTTGGAGTGTGAAGGAAGCAGTGAGAAGTGAGAAGTGTGAAGTGTGAAGTGTGAAGTTTGAAGTTTGGAGTGCGAAGAGTGCAGTGTGAAGTGTGGAGTGTGGAGTGTGAAGACTTTGCTTCGTCTCTCGCTGAAAAAATCAAACGGTTGCCGAGGGAAGGACACGGTCAGGACAGGGTGTCTTTGAACTATAGGTCATTTATGTTTGGGAAACTTCCGCCGCCGGCTTGCCCGGGTCTATGTTAATACATTAATACATTAATACAGCAATACAGTAATACAGTAATACAGTAATAGAGTAATACAGTAATACAGTAATACAGTAATAGAGTAATACAGTAATACAGTAATACTGTAATACTGTAATACTGCAATACAGTAATACAGTAATACAGTAATTCAGTAATACGGTAATGCAGTAATACAGTAATACAGTAATACTGTAATACTGCAATACAGTAATACAGTAATACAGTAATTCAGTAATACTGTAATACAGTAATACGGTAATGCAGTAATACAGTAATACAGTAATACAGTAATACAGTAATACAGTAATACAGTAATACAGTAATACAGCAATACAGTAATACAGTAATACAATAATTTACTGTAATACAGTAATACTGCAATACTGTAATACTGTAATACTGTAATACTGTAATACTGTAATACTGTAATACTGTAATACAGTAATACAGTAATACAGTAATACTGTAATACAGTAATACAGTAATACTGTAATACAGTAATAAAGTAATACAGTAATACAGTAATACAGTAATACAGTATATGAGTGACGATCAAAACCCCCGCAGAGGAGTTTTATACAAACGTATGAATGGAGTATGTTGTTGTAAATTTGCAGTGCGTTTTGCCTGGGAGGCGCAAGAAAGCGCAAGGGCGGGCGCAAGATATATTAATATCGTTGTTCTTTTCTGTATCAGTGATCTGCTGCTGTAGCGGCTCAGAGCTGGTAGGCAGGACAGACGGAACCATACCTACAAAAACGGAATCAAATTCCAAGAGGTATGGCAGAAGCAGAGTGTATACACAATTATACATGTGATTCCCGTAAAGCTGCTTTCTGGCTCGAAAGGGCCGTTTTGGGAATCAAATTTCCTATGTGTATACATTCTCCTTCTACCATACCTCTTGAAATTTGATTCTCGTAAAGCTGCTTTCTGGCTCGAAAGGGCCGTTTTGGGAATGAAACTTTCTCTGTGTATAAACTCTCCTTCTACCATACCTCTTGAAATTTTCTGGCTCAAAAGGGCCGTTTTGGGAATGAGACTTTCTCTGTGTATACACTCTCCTTCTACCATACCTCTTGAAATTTGATTCCCGTAAAGCTGCTTTCTGGCTCGAAATGGCCGTTTTGGGAATCAAATTTCCTATGTGTATACATTCTCCTTCTACCATACCTCTTGAAATTTGATTCCCGTAAAGCTTCTTTCTGGCTCAAAAGGGCCGTTTTGGGAATCACAATTCCTTTGTGTATACACTATCCTTCAACCATACCTCTTGAAATTTGATTCCCGTAAAGCTGCTTTCTGGCTCAAAAGGGCCGTTTTGGGAATCAAATTTCCTATGTGTATACACTCCTTCTACCATACCTCTTGAAATTTGATTCCCGTAAAGCTTGTTTCTGGCTCGAAAGGACCGTTTTGGGAATCAAATTCCTATGTGTATATATTTGCCTTCTACCATACCTCTTGAATTTTGATTCCCGTAAAGGTTCTTTCTGGCTCGAAATGGCCGTTTTGGGAGTCAAATTTCCTATGCGTATACATTCTCCTCTACCATACCTCTTGAAATTTGATTCCCGTAAAGCTTCTTTCTGGCTCAAAAGGGCCGTTTTGGGAATCAAATTTCCTATGTGTATACATTCTCCTTCTACCATACCTCTTGAAATTTGATTCCCGTAAAGCTGCTTTCTGGCTCGAAATGGCCGTTTTGGGAATCAAATTTCCTCTGTGTATACACTCTCCTTCTACCATACCTCTTGAAATTTGATTCCCGTAAAGCTGCTTTCTGGCTCGAAATGGCCGTTTTGGGAATCAAATTTCCTATGTGTATACATTCTCCTTCTACCATACCTCTTGAAATTTGATTCCCGTAAAGCTTCTTTCTGGCTCAAAAGGGCCGTTTTGGGAATCACAATTCCTTTGTGTATACACTATCCTTCAACCATACCTCTTGAAATTTGATTCCCGTAAAGCTGCTTTCTGGCTCAAAAGGGCCGTTTTGGGAATCAAATTCTTATGTGTATACACTATCCTTCTGCCATACCTCTTAAAAATTGATTCCCGTAAAGGTTCTTTCTGGCTCAAAAGGGCCGTTTTGGGAATTAAATTTCCTATGTGTATTTATTTGCCTTCTACAATACCTCTTGAAATTTGATTCCCGTAAAGCTTCTTTCTGGCTCAAAAGGTCCGTTTTGGGAATGAAATTTCCTATGTGTATACACTCTCCTTCTACCATACCTCTTGAAATTTGATTCCCGTAAAGCTTCTTTCTGGCTCAAAAGGGCCGTTTTGGGAATCAAATTTCCTTTGCTGTAGGTAGAGCTCCTCCGAATCTTCAACTTTTGAGAATTCGAGCTCCGAATCATCAGATTTTGCTTCCGAAGGCTAAAAAACTCTGTGTTGCACAGCGTACTGGATCAGGGAACACCCCCTTGAATTGAGCAACTTTTTGCGGCAATCAATTCTTAAATACATATTTTAATCTATTTAATGGAACACAATAAAAACCCTGAAGAGCGCAAGGAAGCGCAAGGGCGGGCGCAAGGTCATTTCTAATAACACAGCGGCAACTATGTTTTGATCAACCCCGCTATATATATTATATAGATACATTCATACATTCATACATACATTCATACATACATACAGACATACAGTAATACAGTAATTCATACAGTAATGCAGTAATACAGTAATACAGTAATACAAGAATACAGTAATACAGTAATACAGTAATACTGTAATACTGTTATACAGTAATACAGTAATACAGTAATACAGCAATACAGTAATACAGTAATACAGTAATAGAGTAATACAGTAATACAGTAATACTGCAATACAGTAATACAGTAATACAGTAATACAGTAATACAGTAATGCAGTAACACAATAATACAGTAATACAATAATACAGTAATAGAGTAATACAGTAATACAGTAATACGGTAATACTGTATTACTGTAATACAGTAATATTGTAATACTGTAATACTGTAATACTGTAATACTGTAATACTGTAATACAGTAATACAGTAATATAGTAATAGAGTAATACAGTAATACAGTAATACTGTATTACTGTAATACAGTAATACATTAATAGAGTTATACTGTAATACAGTAATACAGTAATACTGTATTACTGTAATACAGTAATACTGTAATACTGTAATACTGTAATGCAGTAATACAGTATATATATATACATAATATAGATACACACCGCATATACCCGCGATGTTTTGAATCCCGCATGTACAACACTGGTGAGGCGCCAGAAGAACTGGAGTCCGATGACTTGGGAAAAAGCTGCGGTGAAAACTGACGCCTTTTTTAAGTCGTTGCTGGGTAAAGTGGGCGGGAACATCTGGAAAAACATGAGGTAATCATCTATCAACATACCTAGAACCTCTGTTTGTACCCATAAATTTTGAGCTTTGCCTTGCTAACACACATTTTTAGTACTACAATGTTTTGGTGGTATTTGCAGGGTCTAGGTTCAAAGTTAAGTATTTGCCCACTGATACGGTTTTAAAACGACATGTCATATACTTTTTTAGCATGATAAGATCTTGATATATTTTATGATATGAATAAGATACCTGAATTCATGCATAATACACCTTTGAATGTCACAACCTTTTCTTCAAACATTCTTAAACCACATCAGAAGACAGAGAATCTGTAAGCACGCAACATCACTTTAAGTGCAGAAAATGCATTGAGCACCTCAACATATCAGTAACTTCAGTGAAACTTGTTGTTTTTCGTTTCAATCAGCATTTGCCAACAGCGACACAACACTCATACTGATCATACTGGCACTTTTTTGGCGCAGGACATTTTGGACAAGCTGAACCCCGACTTTTTGCTGATGAAGGCGCCGAAAACGGTGGGCCTCGGTCCGCGGCCTCGGTCGGGTCAAGCTGCGGCACAGGACCAATTGGAGCGCCTGGGAGACACTGTGAATCAGATCGCTTCCCAGGTGCCAGCGTAACTTGACTGAAGGGACGAACGGGGCATAACGGGGCCATGGAAGCTGTTGAGATGTGAGCCAAAACCATCAGAATATATCAGCAACGTATAATATCACGACATTACATGTGAAATGTTCATGTGGCACCCGAATTTTCATGTCAAATGGTGGTTGAGAACAGGAACTCCTTCTCGCAAATCTGATGCAAGTCTGTCGGCCACTTGTAGCAATATCACACCACAGGATCAACATGGCACTTCCAACTTGCCCCCAAATCATCCCAAATCCAAATATGCACACACTGCCAACTCCCAACTAGCTGGAAATAGATGGACGCAGATGGAAATAGCGATGTTTTTCATAGCTTTGTCAGTCACGTCATGTCATCGAATCCACTGGCAGTCACTGGCACCTTCTGGTAGCTACACCAAGGTTAGTCCTGGGAGACGCCCAGGCGGTCCGAATCCACGGATCAACCAGAGGGTTTTTTGGACATCTACGAGTGACACTTTCTGTGACATAGTGGTAATTACCCTTTGGTAAATTGGATGGTTAATGATGGTTAATGGTGGTTAATGATGGTTAATGGATATTACTACCTACCTTGTGGTAAATTAACAGTTGGATCCTGAAAATCAGCAATGTTTAATGGTTTCACTATAGTCTTCCAACCCCGATGACTGCCAGGGTCTATGTTAATTTACTGGAGGGTAATGGTTGGTGGTTGGTGGTTATAAATGATGATTCATAGTGATTTTCATGATGATTAATGGTAATGATTAATGATCTGGTTGGGGGTGACTGGAACCATGGAATTGAACATTTGTCCATTCAGTTGGGAATGTCATAATCCCAACTGACGAACTCATATTTTTCAGAGGGGTACAGGGAAAAGCTTAAGTCGTTTCTTTTTTTTGATTTTTGCACACCCTTTCAGCACAAAATGGTTCTAGGATGTCGTACCTTTTCCTTCATTATGCTTGTGATTCCCATGTTTTGGGATATGTACGGGTTGATCATATCCCCATCGCGGTGCCATGCTGAAACGCCGGGTGGGCATGACTTAGGCGTGACTTCTGGAAACAGCGGTGCCATGCAGAAGTAGGGTTAGGGCATGACTTAGGTATGAGTTAGGCTTCCCGCTGTAGGTATACCACCAACCCGTTACACTGATGTGTATGAAGGAGACAACGCCCATCGTAGATATTTTTGGATGTTCGATACTTTGAGATGTGCTCTTTCTGTGCCAGAAAGGGGGGAAGGATATAAGTAGGTCACAAATATCCTAAACTAGGTGTCAAAGATTCATTGAAACGCATACAGATCCATGCAGAGAGATCGATAGATGGATGGATAAAAAGGTAGATAGGCACATAGGCAGATTAGAAGACTTCTCTGGTTCAAAATCTGAATTAGACCTCAAAGTAGATCGTTTAACTTTCAAAAATCAATGCATTGGCAGGAAACAGTTACAGGAAACCATGAGTTTTCAGCAGTAAATATCGGGTTTTCCTGTTGTTCCTTCAACTCCAACGGCTTCGGTTTCGCTTTGCCTCGCCAAAACTCGCAGGTGCGCGAGGAGTGCAGGATTTTTCGGTCTGACATTGGCAAACTGAGCGACGAGATGGTGTAGCCCAACGGCAAGTTACCTTCTGGTAATGTCAAAATAGCGAATTATTGAAAATGGCAGTTTTTGTTGTTGATTTACCTATTAAAGATGGTGATTTAAGCTTACCAGAGGGTAGTTCATAACTCCAATATATTTTTAAAGGGGTTATATCTATATACAGTAAACGTGTTTTTTAGTGGTTTTTAATATTTTAGTTATATCTACCGTAAATGTGCTTTTCTTTAGAACTACATTGTAAACAAACAGAGCTGGGAGAAACCACCCAGTTTCAGCAAACAGGGGTGCTTTTCATTACAGCTGGCTGGGCTGGGCGGCAAGATGACTCAGTCCGTGGGCTTCTCATGGCCAAAATATGGTAGCCTCTGGTACTTTGTTGCATATTGAACATGGCCCATTCATAGATTATTTACGAAAAAAAAAATGGTGATTTTCCATAGTGAAATTGCCAAAGAAAAAAACCATCCGATATAGATCTTCACATATAAAATCAGCAAAAAAAAATCGGTTAGTCAAACAGGCGAAAATCAGATGGGTCATGGATCAGGTTTTTAGATCCTCCTGCGACCTGGAAGACCTGAGGCATATGGGCGAGTCGCTACGTTTGGTGCTGCCATGGGTGGATTGGTTGCGTGAGCCAGGGATGCGGAACCTGGAGGCTGTGGCTGAACTGGCGCAGCTGATTTTTTTTGGGGGGAAACCATGGAAAACCTGTGGAAACCCTTCATTTTTTTATGTTTCTCATGTTTTTTTCAGTTTATGAATGTTTCATCATCATTTTTCCTATATAAAATGGTCCCGTTGGGGGGTGTACCACATTTTGGGACCATGGATTGTGTGATAGAATGTGGGATTTAAACAAAAATCACCACAGCTCACCGTATAATTGACAACTACCCTCCAGTAAACTAACAGTTTGCGAACTGGAACATCACCATTCTTTACAGATCTTTACCATCGAACTCAACGGAGGTTCGATGTTTGGAAATGATGAGTTTCCCCCGTTTCCCAACAAAACACACCACATCTATGGCTGGAGAAATCGCCAAAAAAATCCCCGAGCTAACTAAATGGGAGTTTTTTTTGGCAAAGCATAAGTGTGATTATCAGAGGGCATCTGATTGGTCGTTTGGAACATGAATGTTATTTTTCCATATTTTCCATATATTGGGAAGAATCATCCCAACTGACGAACTCATATTTTTCAGAGGGGTTGAAACCACTAACCAGTAATTGTTTAAGACAATGGTGGTTTCATCAGAACGCAATTTGACCAACCAGTACCATCTATTCCCATGATAATGGCTGTAAATCCCTATTTTCCCGCCATTTTCCCACCATTTCCCATTGTCTAAGGGGGTACCAACGGATCATCTTCCGTAAGGGTTGACCGTGCAGGAGCGGCTGGCGGCTTTGGAGCATCTGCTCACAGAGGGCCTCAATAGCCAGGAGATCTTCAGCAGATCAAATGTGGCTGGAACATCCACCATTTTTAGATGATGTTCCCAACGAACTAAACATATATATATATATATGTATATATATATATAGAGGGTTTCCCAGATAGCCACGTTTGATAACTGCAGAGTATGACGGTATAACCAGCAAATATATATATATATATATATTTTTTTCCCATGGGGATATCGGGATATCATCCGGACAATCTATCCATACCCTGGCTACAGCTTCCTGTTCGCAGTTCGACTACCAGGGGATATAGCCTCTGGTAAACTTAGCTTTGGAAAATCACCACCTTTACTATGACGGGTTTACTAGAGGCTACTTGTAATTAATTATGACATATATTATGACTACAACCCCTGGAAGCAGTAGTTAGTCAGTTAGTTAATCTGGATCTCTTCATTCCCATGGGGCCTCCTTCAAGAGACTTCGATCGTAGGATGATATTTTTTTTGCAATCCCCATTCAGAACCCAAGATACGGTTTTAGAAAAGTTTGGCACCTGGAAATATCCTCTACATACATCCTGGACAGAATGTTCCACGATTTTGTGGACTCCTATGGGGTCTAATGAGGAGATGTCGATTTTTGAGAGGTCATTATTTTTCAGTCAAAAGCCATTTATTGACAATTTGCAGCGGAAACATTAACCGCTGATGCTGCTGACAATGTCTACACTGAAAAGGTTTGTTTTTTCCAAACCCCGAGGAAACCAAACTCATTGAATTTCTGAGTGAACATTTGATAGGTGTAGCTGGTTTCCAGCAGATCAGTATGAGTCACAACTCCTATTATGAACACTGTGGGTGTTCCTCACAGCTTTCTTCTGATACATTATACATGTATCAAGAAAACATTCCACATGCCCTTTGGTAATCAGTCACATGGCGGAAAAACACGGAAAAACCCTTATCTAGTTCGAGTTTTTGTTCCCATAAAAACTACCCTTTTGATGGTTAAATCCATATTTTAAGATGTTTTTTCCCAAAAATCCACATAACTGCAATCCCAGAGGGCCTCATGACTCACCGCCATCAGGGTCTCCAGGGGTCTCGCTTCAGCAGCTTCGAGAAGGAGCTTCAGGATCAGCGTGGCACCCCAAGACCGTCTATTTATAGATGGGATTTTCCACAACCATCCAGCGACTTTGGGGTACCCCCATGACTATGTTTCCACCCTCATGTAGATTTGCAGAATCCAATGGTTTTCCTGACGCCATGAAATTGCCATGACATACACAGCATTTTGATCTCATTTTGGGACAATCCGTCTTGCTCTCCTTTCTCAGGCAGAGATGTACCAATGAGCTGCAGGCAGTCTGCCGGAAGCTGCCGGAGGAGTCATGTCCGCCGGATTTCAAGCTTTCGGAAGGTGTTTCTTTTGGTGGGGTGGGTTTAGTAAACTGCCCCAAGTTGGGGAAAACCATCCCAAGTCTATCCGATACTTCATCTTTGGGACGGTCAACTGAATTCAATTTGGATGTTCAATCCATAGAACCAGCTACGAAACAGTGAACGAGAATCACCAACTTTGAGTGTTTCATGAAGTCTTAAGTCTACCAACTACATTCAACTATACATTCATGTGCTATACATATACATTCTTCATAATATGCTATACATATACGTTCATATATTTACCATATATATATAATCTCATAGATTAATTACTATAATTACATTCATACCATTTCATACTTTACTTTACATTCATATACTATATTCATTAATCATATTTAATCATTATAAATGGGTGTTACTTCCATATTTCATTAATAATTTCTTAGTAAATTATACCATATTAATTTTCATACCCACTTAGTACCATATAAAATATATAGGTCACTATCATATTTCATCAAAAATCATTTACCGTATACATTAATCATGAAATATCAATCACTGGATCGGTTTACAGGAAAAATTGCAGGAAACCCTCATTAATTTAATGGTAAAAACACCATGGTTTCCGGTTAAGATTTTCCCTAAAATCAATCCAATGAATCAAATCATCTGGTTGGTGGTTGGGAACATGATCCAATCTGACGAATTCATATTTTTCAAGATGGTTAAAACCACCAATTGATCATTATATCAATGGCCATTTCAGGAACCTAAATTGGAGGTACCTAACATATATAAGGCCTATTTTTTAGGTCTTAATTTCAGGGAATATCCCCAGAAAATATAGCCAAAAATATGGACCTCCATTTTAGGATCCTGAAATTCCCATTGATTATATCACTATAATAGATTACTATAATTATAAAAACCACTATTATATCAATATAATACCCACTTCGTAAATTTCTTCATTACAGGCATCCCCCTGGACGGAGGATTTGGAGTTGCAGCGTCGGAAGCTCTTGGGCCTTGAGGTGAACCTGCGGGATGCCCCAGCCGGTGTCAAATGGGCCCTGTTTCCATGGGGAAAATGTAGGAAAACTATGGGAAGATGTGGGAAAGCTATGGGAAAATATAGAAGAATTACTGGAAAATTATGGGGTTATGGGAAAACTATGAGAACATGTGAGAAAATATAGAAACATATTGGGAAAACTATGGGAAAGTGTGGGAAACCCGTGGGAAGATGTGGGAAAAGGAAAAGGATTGGCAAAATCATGGAAAACTATGAAAACATTTTCAGAATGGAGCTTTACTGTATATCTACGGGCGTATTCATTTTTGAGGCACAACGACATTTTTCTGGGAGTTTTGTTGGCTGAGGCGGAAGTATCTTCTCAACAGTGAAGAGCTCAAGAACTTGCGGCAGGCCTGGGATCATAGTGGGAAAGTGCTACTTTTTTGGTAGGAATCTCATGGGAACAGATGGGGAATATTGCAGGTGTTCCTTAAAATGGTGGATCCTCAAGTCGCCATGGGGTTGAATACTACAGTTTGCTCTGACTTGGATGATTTGGAGTACCAAAACGATGGAATCATGTATCCCATTCACTTCCATCAATGCTTCCAATTCGAGATCTATCATCATTCGAAACTATTCCCAATATATTGCCAGTGGCAGGAAACCATGAAAAAAATCCCAGGAAACCCACGCCCAGTAGAGATCTATTCGCTCCCAGAGATTTTCCACCAGACCATGGCAGCCCCGCTGAGTTCGCTGGCGCTGCTAGGACTTTGACAGCATCAGAGTTCGGCTGAAGCGCTGCGAGGTAAATCAGCTCCAAGAGTCTCCTGGTTGCACGATGGGCAGAACGATGGCTTTAACGGTAATTGTTAAATGGTACCCCCCCTTCAGGGGATAATCTGGGTATTTGTTGGTATTTGTTAATTGTTAATTGTTTTCATTTGTTGTTCATTGTTTTCATTGGTTGTTTTGCCGAAAATGACTGATAATCCAATCTCAATGTGAGTATCAGTAATTTTCAGCAAATGCCTTGAGATTGGTTCAGCAACTGCGAAGTCGCGCCTCCCCAAAACTGGCCGGCCATCGGAGAGTTCAGAAAGTCCATGAAAGTCCATGAAAGTCCATATGTGGGGTGGCCATCGCTGACTGAGGCAAAAGAACCTCAAAATTTGTCAGGACAGCCAACGATTTTTAAGCCGATCAGGTTACAAAACCATGGACCCAGGGAATCCCTTCCCCCAGTCGAAAACATCCCCGGAAAAAAAAAACTTGGTGGATGTTGGGGATGAAACCACATCTAACTGGGACCATGCACCTGAAAAGTTTCCCAGGAGAACTGCTCTCGGTATCGAAAGGCCTGCGAAGACATCTATGCCAAGTGCCATCAGGACGACGATTCAACCATTGCTATTCCAGAATCATCTGAGATGGGGGCCACTAGTTTGAACAACATGGAACAACCATTTCCGGTCATGTTGTTTTTTGCTTGGTATATCAAGATTTGGTGACTTTTTGCAGTATGTGCACATGACAAAAAACATGTCTGCAATCTTTCGATTTCATTCCCTCCAGCTGATTTCCCCTGCTGGCATGGGCACCCACAGTTAAACCACCAGCCAAACTTCTGAAGCCTGACAACTCTAGATTTTGCTAGATGTGGATTTGTTTGAAAATAGGGTACCCCGTTCTATCCGTTGGTTGATCATCATTTTCCCGCTTCAAATTGCCACAAGAGGAGGTATATCCCATGTTCAGACACATCCAAATATGTGTCGGTTATCAGTTATTAATAGCCCCCTAGCAACTCATTAAAAAATCATAGAATATCTCCATTCTTACCCTGCTTGGTGGTTTGGAACATTTTTTATTTTTCCATGTCTTGGGAAGAATCATCCCAACTGACGAACTCATATTTTTCAGAGGGGTAGGTCAACCACCATCCAGTACCATATATTCCCATGATCATGGCTGTAAATCCCCATTTTCCCGCCATTTTCCCACCATTTTCCCACCATTTTCCCAACCCCAAACGGCGCAAGAGACCGCGCTGGCTGCGTCAGGAGACGCTGCAACGCGGTGACTCGCCGGAGCCTCGGGTTCGCCAAGCAGAGCCTGGACAAGTCACCTGAAGATGGTGAACAAAAATGACTGAATATATATGTGTGTGTATATTATATTTCATTATAATTATATGATATTATATTATATCATATTATTACATTATATTATATCATATTATTATTACATTATATTATATAATATTATATTATATTATATAGCTATCTATAGTATACTAAACACTATATATCTTATATAACCCTATTTTCAAGTGCCGAATTTTCCACGTAGATTGTTTTTTTCTTGGCTGTCGGGCGACACTGCAGCATTGGTTTCGTTAACTGGCTGCCGGCCGCTCAGATGTTCATCGGTTTTGCTTCTCTGTTTTGCCCCGTAATTTTTGGAAATAGGGTTATATAAGATATATAGTGTTTAGTATACTATAGATATAGCTATATAATATAATATAACATTAAATAATATAATGTAATGTAATACAATATAATCATTCTATTAGGATCTTTTAGGATCTATTATATAGGGGTATTTGGGTCTAGCTATCTTGTCTGTGGCCACAAGCTGCCAGTGTTCAAAGGCGCAACCTGAAGGAATATGAAGACGCATATGCCAAGTGGCGCCAGGATGCTGTTTGGCCCTTAACTTTCAGGGATCTCAGGTCCCTTTCAGCATCTGTCATCGAGCCTAGCCGTAGAAGTGGCGGATCATCATGGATTGTCCATGCCCGTTGCATTGGTTTTTTCCACGTGGAAAAGGCTCAGAAGGTGTCGTTGGATGGCCTCGCCCTAGGTAGCCTGGCAGCAAGAGCAGGTGCGCAAATTGCAGGGCCAGAAGTGACCTGGATCCAACTCTAGCACGGTATCAGTTTTCAACATGCATAAACCCTCCAAATACGACAAGAAACATGGTAGAAGTACTTAAAATGATGGGGTAAAAGATGGTAAAACAATGTAAAACATAATTTCTATGGGTGGCCTAGGTATTGTTATATATTATTGTTTGTATCGGCTCTATTTGTATCATTTGCAATGATCGTTTGTATCCTTTGTATCGTCTGCATGATTGCAACCTGTGCGGTTGCAAGCTCAAAAGATCAAGATCCCCCGCCGGAGATTGCCGTGGAACCCAAGCTGCACCTCAAAAAGGGGCGCAGGCTGCGCAGGTGAAAGGTGGGACGTGGCGCTGTGAACCTGCTGGGTCAGTGGTTTTTAGATGTTAACTGCTAATGTTGTCGTCGAACACTGTTTGAATCATTCGAACAATGCCAGTTATAATTTCGGACGAGATGCCAGCTTGTAAGGAGATTTTCAATGGCCATTTCGGGTACCTAAACTAGAGGTAAACTGTACCTTCCAAAGCCAGATTTTTGGGGACATCCCCTTACACCTTGCATAGGCCTTATGGACCCTTCTGGTACCTCCAATTTACCTGGACATGGCCATTGAGATTTGGATTCACAGCTGGTCCTGTCTCTTTGCTCTTTCTCAGTCGACACTCATATTTTCCCATGTAATGTAAGGATGTCATATTTTTCGCATGTGTGCATGCATATATAGATAGATAAATCGATAGGATAGGATAGGATAGGAAAGGATAGGATAGGATAGGATAGAATAGGATAGGAAAGGAAAGGAAAGGAAGATGGATAGATAGACAGACAGACAGACAGATATATGATATATTGATTGATAGATTCGCTGGGTTCGATAGATATGCTATGATATGCTTATCATCCCTCAAGATGTTGATATGTATCATTGTTATGATCGGATGATCAGCACCCTGTGCTGACACTGAACTGCCGCCAAGTTCCGATCCGTTCCACCGTGTTACTTCAGCGCCGTTCCGATCCTGAGAGCTTCGCAAATCGACCGATGGGCAAAAGTCGTCCGATGCCGATGATTCTGTTGTTTTTGAACGGATATCCCTTGGAAAAGCCCAGTTTCGACTTCCTGTAGTTTGGTGGAAACATGTGAAAACCATCAGAATTTCCGCAAAGTATGACAATTTAATAGAATTTTACATCAATGAATCAATTTACCATTTGTTTTTACATTTGTTTAACTATGTTGTTTCACTTAGAGAGGCTTGAGTGGCCACCCACTGGCAGCTTCAACGTCCACGTGGGGAGTTTCCACCACGGCGCTTCACTAGGCGTGTTCGAGTGCCTGTGACGCCCCAGAGGCGACAGTTTGGGCGTTTGGTGTAGCATCATCCCATCAGTGGTTTAGTGGAATGTCTAATGGTGATCTCATGATATTTCATGATATTTCATGGAAATTTCTAGATTCTATAGCAAAATCATGCATAATTATATAGCATGTAAAATGCTAGTACGGCATTTTATCCCATGTTGTTTCAAACATTAAATGGGTTACTCAGCTGGAATAATATTTGGAATGACCTTCTGGTGTAGCTCCATGGCAAGCTTTGGAAGATGATGACCAACCTGTACTAATAGAATGATATATATATTTATAGAATGCCAAATGGACACTGCTCATTTGGATGGCTAATTTTTTAAACATATGGGTTTAACATGGTTTAACATTCATTTTAAGGGGCGATATCGCCTTGCACTCGGATAGCACCAAGAGTATGGATGTTGTTGAAGATTGCTTTTAACCCGTTTTGGTTCAATTCTTTGAAGCGTACAAAGCTCCACTTAGATTTTGACTACATTATCCAGTTTTTGTTTGATTTCCAATTCCTTGGATTAATTGGCCGGGATAACACATGTTGGTAACGCTGGCATTCAATTTATATACTGTAATTGATTGATGTTGTTAGATTCATATTCCTCTTCAGGTCATTGGCAAAGTCCACAGTCTGTTCGACCATTCAGTTTCAATATTTGACCCATGATGTTCTTGATGGGACACCCATCGGATTTTCAAGACGGAACCAGCGATATCATGCCATATCCAAAGGTAAGACACTGGAAATTGATTTTCAATCCTAATTCTTATTCTTTGTAGCGGTTTAGGTTGCGGTTGTCATTTACTGGAAGCATGCCTCCAAATCCAAAGCATGGTCGCGGGTCGCAAATGTTGTGCCATGTACGGGTAGAGAGTCCATAGGGAGTGCCCGCCACGCAAGTTTGAGACATCCAGGGAACGAACATCTCAAGTAGAATTTTCAGAAATGTAGAAGGATTGGATGCAGCAACCATCACCCCAAGAAGTCTTCAACCTTCTAGTTTTTTGGGAGTTGTAATTATGTGTTTTTGCACCATGCTGTGCACTCCATCATGGGATAGCAATCCCGGACCCACGAGACAATAGAAGACAATGGATTGCTTGATTCCTGTATTGATTTTGCACCATGTTTTCCCCCCTCATAGATATGTAAAAAGCTCCTGGCAAGTTCAGCCTCAAAATGGTGGCTTGGCCATTTAGCCCAGACTGGCAAAAACACCGACACTAGGGTGCAATTTCCCTTCCAGTCCGAGCCTATCTGACCTTTTCTTGTATTTATCGCAGAACTGTGCGGACATCATGGTTTGTAGTCCTGTTTTTCAATGGAGAACCGGCTTTTTTCCGGGGAAAGCAGCGGAAAAACTTTTTTCGTTGTGTTTTTCTCCCTTAAATACTGGGTGTTTCCTCTAGATCCTGCCATCAGCATCCAGTGGCATTTTTCGCGCCATGGATGACCAGCATCCAGTGGCTTAGCGGCTTAGCGTCCCATGGCACGACGAAGCCTCGATGCGTGCCCCCTTTGGGAGTTGCAATGTGATGGCGCTGTCCGGGCTCCGAGATGTTGAGATTGCGAGAGACCACGAGATTTCGAGATTACCAGTGGATGGCTTAGCATATTGTTTTATGATGTTTTATTGTTTTTGCCATTTGCGGTGCCTCAAAGAGTCAATCTCTTGCTGCATATGCATGTCAGCACATCCCATCATGTGCGAATTAGATACAAAAGACAAACGGATTGGTTCTACTTAAAAACATGTTTGATGATATATGTACATATCATTACATATCCAGAATCTAGAATATCTAGATTGATGTATGAATATGATACATACATATAGTATCATATAATCATAAATAAGTATAAATACGCGCACACACATATATACACACATATTATATATATATATAGAGCCGCCCTATATGAATGCAACCGTCACCAGCTGAATCCTGCACTGAGGTGGTTGGCATTGTGCATGCCCCTGAGGCGGGCTTTAGACAACTGATACGGGAAAGGATACGCCTTGTGGAAAGTCGGACCTCAGTTTGCGAAAAAAAAACGTGATTTTTTCTATGGTGATAAAACGTGATTTATAGTGATTTATAGTGATTTATAGTGATTTATAGTGATTAATAGTGATTCATAGTGATCAATAGTGATTAATAGTGATTAATAGTGATTCATAGTGATCAATGGTGATCAATAGTGATTAATAGTGATTAATAGTGATTAATAGTGATCAATGGTGATCAATGGTGATCAATAGTGATTAATAGTGATTCATAGTGATCAATGGTGATCAATAGTGATTAATAGTGATTAATAGTGATTCATAGTGATCAATGGTGATCAATAGTGATTAATAGTGATTAATAGTGATTCATAGTGATCAATGGTGATCAATGGTGATCAATAGTGATTAATAGTGATTAATAGTGATTAATAGTGATTCATAGTGATCAATGGTGATCAATAGTGATTAATAGTGATTCATAGTGATCAATGGTGATCAATAGTGATTAATAGTGATTAATAGTGATTCATAGTGATCAATGGTGATCAATGGTGATCAATAGTGATTAATAGTGATTAATAGTGATTCATAGTGATCAATGGTGATCAATAGTGATTAATAGTGATTCATAGTGATTCATAGTGATCAATGGTGATTAATAGTGATTAATAGTGATTCATAGTGATCAATGGTGATCAATAGTGATTAATAGTGATTAATAGTGATTCATAGTGATCAATGGTGATCAATAGTGATTGATAGTGATTAATAGTGATTCATCGTGATCAATGGTGATCAATAGTGATTAATAGTGATTAATAGTGATCAAAAGTGATTAATAGTGATTCACAGTGATTCACAGTGATCAATAGTGATCAATAGTGATCAATAGTGATTAATAGTGATTAATAGTGATTCATAGTGATCAATGGTGATCAATAGTGATTAATAGTGATTCATAGTGATTCATAGTGATCAATGGTGATCAATAGTGATTAATAGTGATTCATAGTGATCAATGGTGATCAATGGTGATCAATAGTGATTAATAGTGATTCATAGTGATCAATGGTGATCAATAGTGATTAATAGTGACCAATAGTGATTAATGGTGATCAATAGTGATTAATAGTGATTCATAGTGATCAATGGTGATTAATGCTGATCAATAGTGATTAATAGTGATTAATAGTGATTCATAGTGATCAGTACTGGTGATCAATAGTGATTAATAGTGATTAATAGTGGTTCATAGTGATCAGTGGTGATCAATAGGGATTAATAGTGATTAATAGTGATTCATAGTGATCAATGGTGATCAATAGTGATTAATAGTGATTAATAGTGATTCATAGTGATCAATGGTGATCAATAGTGATTAATACTGATTAATAGTGATTCATAGTGATCAATGGTGATCAATAGTGATTAATAGTGATTCATAGTGATCAATGGTGATCAATAGTGATTAATAGTGATTAATAGTGATTCATAGTGATCAATGGTGATCAATCGTGATTAATAGTGATTAATAGTGGTTCATAGTGATCAATGGTGATCAATGGTGATCAATAGTGATTAATAGTGATTAATAGTGATTCATAGTGATCAATGGTGATCAATAGTGATTAATAGTGATTCATAGTGATCAATGGTGATTAATAGTGATTAATAGTGATTAATAGTGATTCATAGTGATCAATGGTGATCAATGGTGATCAATAGTGATTAATAGTGATTAATAGTGATTAATAGTGATTCATAGTGATCAATGGTGATCAATAGTGATTAATAGTGATTCATAGTGATTCATAGTGATCAATGGTGATTAATAGTGATTAATAGTGATTCATAGTGATCTGGTGATCAATAGTGATTAATAGTGATTAATAGTGATCAAACGTGATTAATAGTGATTCATAGTGATCAATGGTGATCAATGGTGATCAATAGTGATTAATAGTGATCAATAGCGATTAATAGTGATCAATAGCGATTAATAGTGATTAATAGTGATCAAACGTGATTAATAGTGATTCATAGTGATCAATGGTGATCAATGGTGATCAATAGTGATTAATAGTGATCAATAGCGATTAATAGTAATTAATAGTGATTAATAGTGATTAATAGTGATCAAACGTGATTAATAGTGATTCACAGTGATCAATGGTGATCAATAGCGATTAATAATGATTAATATGTTGATTTGATATGGTAATCAATAGTGAAGATGTTGAGTTTTTGGCCTCCAAATGGTAGCAGATCATAGCAGTGACCTCTGGGACCTCTGTTTTTTTGTCCCCCATCCCAGCACAGAAATTTCAGGCGGAGGCCATTCTCACGTGCACAGCGCAACAGCTGGCAGTTTGGGATGCCACTAGCCACGCCTTCCGTCGCGGTGTGCGCGGACGAAGCTTCTGGCAGGTGCCTCTGGGATCGGATTCTTTGAGTTTACCTGCGACAAGTGTGCCAAATCCAAATGACTCATTTGTTTCATCAACTCAGATAGTTATCAGTAGCCGGTAGCCCTCATGAACCCACCAATAATCACTCACCAGGCACTTCTTGGAAGTTCCCATCGTTTTTTTTTTGGAGGCCTTGAGCTACGCCCCAGACCTGCAAAGTGCCATCATGGGCGGCCGCGATGGCACCCTGGTGCTGTGGGACATCAACCGCGGTGAAGCCAAACGAGAACTCAGTGGCCCGCTGCCATGGACGTCATGGACTGGTGAAAAACACCACTGATGGGATCATTGTCATATTCCCATCATTTTCCATGAATCCCAATCATATTTTGATCACACCACCATTTTATAATATCATTTGTATGGGTTGCATCCACCATGCAGCCACTATTGCTTGCCGTTTCTGCAGCCATCACGGAAGATGGGATTTTTTACCTTGGGATTTCCCCAAAAGTACCTGATCTAATTATTCTCTTCCCCCTCAAATGAAATAGAAGATTGGATTTATTCATGTTGGAGTCCCAAAACTCTCTGGGTATGTTTCATTAAGGGGATAGGAGTAGCATTGATCAGCCTAGTCTTTTTGCGATAAACCGGCAGAATTGGTGCCCTAGGGCCTAGGGCCTGTGTTTTGGACCGTAGTTGGGACATGTTGAGACTAGACCGGATGCTGCAGCAATAGACAGAGGTGGATTTTCATCCTGCTTTCACTATGGTATTATGCTTGTTCATTCGCCGCGAAAAATCAGGATCATCAAATCTATAGGTTTCAAATTTCAAATCTTAAAGTTTTATCAAAATTAGATTTTGCAAATGGTGAACTGTCATAAATCAGAATCCACAGCATCAAAAATCTACGCTGAATCTATCGGAACTTTTCAATCTTTTGATTTGTTCATATCAGAATTCAGAATCGTAATCAGGATGTTGAACTTTCCAAAATCCTAAGATTCAGAATCACAATGATCTATGTTGAATCTATTGGAACTCCCATTGTATCATATTTTATCCCAATTCTATTCCCATTTATATTAAATTACTAAATTACCCTCCTGTAAATTACAGTAACATTCAGATGTCGCAAACCCACCATTTGAGTCATTCTAAATGTCTTGTATCCTGGCACCAAATAAGGAAATGCTTACGCCGGTCTTACGTTTTGCTTACGCGCGCACAGGTTTTGCTCCATCATAATCAACATGCTGAACGCTTCATCTGTTGGAATTTTAAAATAGATGTTCACTTATCTTGAAACTTCCCACCTACTGGAATTATCAGAGGAAGTTGGGAAGCAATCTTCCGAGTTACGAATGACTGGAATAGCAATAGCAATACATCACATAACAATACATCACACAACAATACATCACATAACAATACATCACACAACAATACATCACGCAGCAATACATCACATAACAGTACATCGCACAACAATACATCACACAACAATACATGACACGATAATATATCACCCAACAATACATCACATAACAATACACCACATAACAATACATCACACAACAAGACATCACACAACAATACATCACAGAACAATACATCACATAACCATACATCACAACAAGACATCGCACAACAATACATCACATAACAATACAGCACACAACAAGACATCGCACAAAAATGCATCACATAACAATACATCACATAACAATACATCACATAACAATACATCACGCAACAATACACCACATAACAATACATCGCACAACAAGACATCACACAACAATACATCACACAACGATACATCACCCAACAATACATCACATAACAATACACCACATAACAATACATCACACATCATCACACAATAAGACATCACACAACAAGACATCACACAACAATACATCACATAACAATACATCACACAACAAGACATCACACAACAAGACATCACACAACAATACACCACCCAACAATACATCACACAACAATACATCACACAACAATACATCACCCAACAATACATCTCATAACAATACACCACATAACAATACATCACACAACAAGACATCACATAACAGTACATCGCACAACAAGACAACACACAACAATACATCACACAACAATACATAACCCAGCAAGACATCACATAACAATACACCACATAACAATACATCGCACAACAAGACATCACACAACAATACATCACACAACAATACATCACCCAACAATACACCACATAGCAATACATCACACAACAATACATCACATAACTATACATCACACAACAATACATCACATAACAATACATTACACAACAAGACATCACACAACAATACATCACACAACAGTACATCACCCAACAATACATCACATAACAATACACCACATAACAATACACCACATAACAATACAGCACACAACAATACATCACATAACAATACATCACACAACAATACATCACATAACAATACATCACACAACAAGACATCACACAACAATACATCACACAACAATACATCACCCAACAATACATCACATAACAATACACCACATAGCAATACATCACACAACAATACATCACATAACAATACAACACACAACAATACATCACACAACAATACATCACACAACAATACATCACACAACAATACATCTCATAACAATACACCACACAACAATACATCACACAACAATACATCACACAACAAGACATCACACAACAATACATCACACAACAATACATCACCCAACAATACATCTCATAACAATACACCACATAACAATACATCACACAACAAGACATCACAGAACAATACATCACACAACAATACATCACACAACAATACATCACACAACAATACATCACACAGCAATACATCTCATAACAATACACCACATAACAATACATCACACAACAAGACATCACACAACAATACATCACACAACAATACATCACATAACAATACATCACACAACAAGACATCACATAACAGTACATCGCACAACAAGACATCACACAACAATACATCACACAACAATACATAACCCAACAAGACATCACATAACAATACACCACATAACAATACATCACACAACAATACATCACACAACAATACATCACACAACAATACATCACCCAACAATACACCACATAGCAATACATCACACAACAATACATCACATAACAATACATCACACAACAATACATCACATAACAATACAATGGACAACAATACATGACACGACAATGCATCAATTGTGTTGGGGAGGAAGCCGGAGCACGAAACCTGGTGTTTTTTAGGGTGAAGTGGCTGCCGCAAGCGATGAATGGCAGCTCCTGTGTGCGGGTGTGGGTGCGCGCATTCTGACGTTTTTTGGTTGCTCCTCTGTGTTCTTCGACGGGTGGTTGTTCATGTGCGTAGTTCTATGCGCTTGTTGAATCCCCTGTTGCAGATCGCAGTGTGAAGGGGGGAATGAATGTTTCCGTATATATATATATATATACATCGTTTATCTCAGCGTTTGCAGATTATGCGTTGGGAACAAGATCACTCACAGCTTCTACATGACCAATTCAGAGTTGTTGTGCTTACCTTCGCGATGTATTCATTGGATCCAAAATCGGCCAAAGTCAATGTCTGCCATTGTCCGGCCGGTCAGCTCTGATAGGGCCCAATGAAATCCGGAAATCAAAGCAATATCCTATGAACTGCGGCTGGCGGCTTGGCTTGAGGCAATGATTCCAGTCCAAAGTGCGGACGGCTGAGAGATTTCAAAATATTCATGAAATCATGATCTGTAACTTCGTCCGGCAGAAACCCCGGAAGAACCGAGTTCTCTTCTCCTAATTCCTAGGCCTCTAGGACTGTCTCCAATCAAAGTCAAGGGCAGCAGAGTCCTTTCAAACCAGATGGCGAATCGCCTTGCCTGCTTTGAAGCGGCCGCCGGTATGGCTGCAGAGCATTCATCCAGAGGTTTTCCGCAGAAGATGGGAGAATGAATAAACTGCAACTGTGTTCTCTGAAAAACTGGCCATCGTCTCAATTTCCTGCGCAGGGGTGATAGTGGGTCACCTCTAGCATCTCAATGTCTTCATCTTGTATGCACATTTCTTTGAAATGACTAGTTTAGGACCAGGGTGCACGGTGCCAACGGAAAAGCACCAGCTGCTGTTGCGGGTCATTTGGAATTATTCCACCAGGCTTCATGCATGTGCACCACACTGCACAACAGTTCACCTCCTATTTGCACCCACATCAATTTGCTCGGAAGGGTCAATCCATCCATCGAATGTTTCTTGCTCTCCTACCTTGCAGCATTTTGGAGTCGTGTTGACCAACTTTTTCGCATTCCGGATTTTAATAACCGTTGCTTTCTGAAGCCTGATTTTGGGTAATGCGAGAAGCGGCAAACATCCAACATCGAGACTATCTGCTGTTCCTTCACCAGGCCACCCAAGAAATGGAGGTTTCCTAAAATGGTGGTATTCCCAAATCATCCATCTTCATAGGACCTTCCTCCATTATAAACCATCCATTTTGGGGTACCTCAATTTTAGGAAGCTTGGAATCCCAAGTAGAGCATTGTATCGTGGTGAATGTGTTTGAGCCTTGAGTGTTTCAATATGAGCTTTCAGGAACAACTGCTGTAGCTTCATGCGCTGTCTCATCGGCTGCATGCGTCTCCTTGGCTGCATGAATCTACAGCATCCGCCTCGTTTCATCGACACCTTGCCCCCCAGCAGCAGACCACCTTCCCCCCGAAAAGTAGCCACTTGCAGCCACCTGCTCACTGCAGCCAATTGCAGCCAGCAGCAGCCACTTGCAGCCAGCAGCAGCCACTTGCAGCCAGCAGCAGCCACTTGCAGCCACTTGCAGGGAAAATAGTCAAACTGAACCCATCTGTCTAAAGTGTTGCGCCTGCCACGAAAAAGTGATGCCAGGTCATACGAAGTGCTGCACCTGTCACGCAAAATCATCTTAGTAAATCTGAAGATCAAAGTTCTCCGATGTTGATGTGTTTTGTACATTTTGACTTCGAAATGTGCTTCGCGCCACAACGGCGTGCAATTTTTCATCTCCCGGTGCTTTGTGCAAGCTTTGTAGTACCAACTAGTACTGGGACGTGCTTCGTGCAAGATTTGTAGTACAAAGTAGCTTGCGCAAGCTTTACGAAGTAGTACTGGAAAATGCTTTGTGCAAGTTTTGTAGCACAAAAGTAGTACCTGGGACGTGCCTTGTGCAAGCTTTGTAGTACAAGGTAGTACTGGGACGTGCGTTGCGTTGTGCAAGCTGTGTAGTAAAAAGTTGTACTGGGACGTGCTTTGTGCAAGCTTTGTGGTACAAGGTAGTACTGGGAAGTACTCTCTGCAAGGTTTGTAGTACAAAGTACTAGTGGAAAGTGCCAGCTTTGTGGTACAAAGTAGTGCTGGGAAGTGCTTTGTGCAAGCTTTGTAGCACAAAGTAGTTTGGAAAAACTCTTCTGTGTAAATGCATCTGTGTCTCAAGCTTCTGTGTGCAAAAGCTTTCTGCGCGCAATGTTTTTTTTGTGCAAGAGACTTCTCTCTAACAGTGAGAGCTTTCTGGCGTGCAGAAGAGCTGAGATGAGTTGAGAAGAACTTCGAGGAGATGAGACAGGTTGATCAGTGCTCGGGTGAGATGAAAACAGCTAAGAAGAACTTACTTAGATGACATGTGAAAAGAGGTGGGATGAGATGAGAAGAGCCGAGATGAGGTGAGAAGAGTGAGATGAGGTGAGAAGAGCTCAGGTGAGATGAGATGAGATGAAGTGTGAAGTGCGAAGTGTGAAGTGCGGGGTGTAAAGGGCGCAGTGTGAAGTGTGAAGAACAGGTTTGCTTGGCGTTGCATTGCCACGTGGCCGCGCGCCGGTCATGTTCTTGGACAACAACAGCGCAACAGGTTCGCACAAAGCACGCACGCACGTGCCTGGCTGGCGCACGGCGCATGCAAGTTCTATAGATGAGAAAGGTCTTATAGTATAACCCTAAGGCAACTTCCGCCCCTCCTCGTGCGGGTACTACTGGTATTAGTATAGATTCCCACCTATTGGAATTATATTGATGTATATAATAAATCGGTATGAATATACACCTATTGGAAAATATCTACTGTATTAATATAATTCCAATAGGTGGAAATATAGATATTTTACAAATCTTGAACTTTCCATCGGTTTTCCCAGTGCTACCAATTGTGCCCGGCCTCCCTCCGCGAGGTTGTGGCAGCGCGGTGTCCTGCCTGGACTATGCGCAGTCCTTGAAGGTTCAAACCAGAAATGTTTGGCGAACGGTTTTCCATTAAATTAAAGGTAATATCTTTGTGTAATGTGGTAAACCCAATAACTGTGCCCAATATTCCTCGATATAGGTGGTATAATGATATACAAGTGGTATATAATGTGGGTAAAACTATTGACTAGTATTGATTAATAATTGGAAATAATGTGGGTAAAACAAATGTCAAAAACCACCCATGACTGGGACTGGTAACCATACCACTGGTTCTTACTGGGGGATGGTTTATGGCAGTGTGTTACCCACATTAGAAGAAATTTGAATGGTTATTTCATTGGAATATGGGATATAGATGGATATACTTTCTGGTTATTTTGACAGTTTGGTATGGAGAATGGGTGAGAATGGGTTCATTTATAGATAGTAAATATGATGGCTTACCTTTTATTTCAATGATGGTTTTCAATCACTATGTCAAGAGGTAGGATCGGATATGATAGGGATAGGATGGGATATCGAAAACCGACAAATGCACGGCTAGTAGGTGGTTAAACCTTGGGTAAACATGGATGGTTTCAGCTGCAAAGATGAAGACTTAGGATGATTTGGCGAACAGATATGATCTGAATAGATAGGTACAGAATCACTGTTCCCTGTCCCCGTTCATATTAAAAACACCTTGGAAACAATGGTGGATGTAGGGGATGAAACATGATGACACCACACTCGGGACCATTCAGGGGGTGCTTTATGTTATGCAACGGGATAGGATCATTTTAGTGTTTTTTTGTTGCTGGTTTGTATGGTAGAACGTGGCCAGCGCAAAGTCCCGCAAAACCCAAAACGATGATTGCGGATGAAATTTTGCATTGCTACTGGATTTGTTTAATGAGTTAATCCTCAAACATGCTAGGTTGTGTCGGTTTTTGATTGGGTGACTATGATTTACCACGTGATCCACGGGTGGGGGTTTCCCGATGTTGGTTCATAAACCCTATCAACTGTAGATATATCTACCATAAACCATAGCTATCGGAGTTATTTGCGCCAACTTCGCTATCTGAAACGGGGGGCGACCTGATTCAGGTGGATCAGGTATCTAATGGCATCGTAGGACAGCAGGTTGAACAGCCGCAGGCCGTCTTCAGCGGTGAAGAAAACGGCACGGTGATCGCGTGGGACATGACCAGAGGGCTACAGCTGGCGGTGGTTTGGTGTGGTGCTTCTGCCCCTTGGAAAATAATTAGCCTGGTTGGAATCAGTTGATCTCTAATGATCGTAGGTCCAGAAATGTACCTTAGAGGAATGGATGAGATTCACCAGTATCAGTTTGGCAGATCTTGTCAGCTTGCAGATCAATCATCCAATGCTTGGCCTATTGGTTCATATTTCCTGAGGTGAATTGCTTGGCCTATTGGTTCATCGCCCCCTACATCCGCGACATCCCGCATCTGAACGACGGGCAGGCGATGTCCAAACTGATTCCAGCCACAGAGCGGGGGACCATGGGCCGGACCTTCCTCACGGGCGATGCGGCCTTCAAGGCGTGTGTGGTGAAGTACTTGGAGGATCAGCTCAGGTTTTTTGTAGGTTAGATCATCTGGATCTGGTGGGGTTATAACCGTTATTTCACCCGGTTCACCCATAACTGGCACTTAATGGGACTATCCATGCTTATCCACTGGACTTACAAACCAGGGTTACTAACCACTTACTATACCTGGGATGATCCTCCAGTTGTTGGTGAAATTTGGGGTGATGGTGAAGCCTCAAAACATCGATGTGGTGTTCCTACCTTTTGTTTTGAGTCGGGGTAGGGGTTAGTTCGCTTTGGATCAGAATTATTCAGCTTTGGATCAGAAGCTGAATGAAATTAAAACATCACCTGCTTTGGCCGAACAGTGTTTTCTTGTGTTTTTTGTTGCCTGCACAAGGTGACCGTTTGGGACATCGAGACGACACAAGCCAAGAAGACTTTCCACTGCCATAGCCACGTTTTGGTCTTGGCGGTGTCGCCTTTTCTGGGCCTCATCGCGGCTGGTGAGGCGAAGCCTTAAGCGGAGGGGCTTAAGGGAAGTGCTGAAAGATGAGGCAAGGTGAATTCATAAACCAGTCAGGATGCTTTCAGGATGGTTTATACAATGTTTATACCACAAATCTCCGTTACTTAGATTACCATAGATTCACTTAGATACTTTGGGACCCCCATTGTTGGAGGCCAAATAAAACGGTCCACGGACGGTGAAATTGCCAATGCTAGGCCAATGGTCGAGTGACACTTTGGGATGCCGAAGTTGAGCGTCTTGGTGTCGACTCCTTGGGGTTTGGGAATGGGAATAAGGTGGGAAGTACCGGACCGACCCTCCGAAACTGTACCCGTAAAAATAGTTTGAAAGAAAAAAGGTGCTCTACCCCATAGTTTCTGTACTTCTATCATGTTTCGGGTGGTAATTATTTGGAGGGTCTGGGTAGGCATGTCAATGTCTCAGACCTTCCCAGACCAGTGATATAGCGTTGATTGTACCCAGTTGGTTGGGTCTGATCAACAGTATCTAACTTCTCTGAGACTAGGCCGACATTCAGATGCCCGGACTCTGGTCCTGAAGTTGTTCTGAAAAGAGAAGTCTGATCCGCTTGTTAGCACGTGGATGTATAGTGGCCGCAATGTCACTACTATCGTGGTTATATCCCAATAGTCACCATGGTTAAACCCATGATTCATACCCAACTGCACCCCAAGTGTTGGAAAAGTCCAACTCGGCATCCATGTTATATTGATGTTAAGCTCGTTTAGCCATGTTACAAATACCAATCTATGTATTCATGTTGTATCCATTGATCCACTGTACATTCACGTATACATTTTATATCCAGATTATCTCCATATATCCATGTTATGTTGTGTCCATGTTATATGAATTTATTCATGTTACATTCATTTATCTACTCTATTTGTCCATGTTATCCATGTTATTATCAGTTTTTATCTGTTTATCCACTCAATATCCATGTACATTTGCTTAGAAGAAGAGGTTTCCGTTCCATATTCCACCCAGCCTTTGGCCACCATGGCTGCCGTGGCCAGGACGGTGCTGCACCGCTTTGAGGGCGGCGCCTTGCGTTCGCTGCACTTCACGGCGGCGGGGGAGATCCACTGTCTGCTGTGTGCGGCGCCTTGGTATCACTGGAAAATCTTGGGACAATCTTGAGCCAAAACCATGACTTTCCGCAGTCAGATTGCGGTTTTCTTGTATATTTGTATATAGATTTTCCGTGTTTTTAAAGATAAGTTCCCTTATCCAAGGATTCTAGAAACCATTGAATACATAGATTATTTACATATTTTACTCTGTTGTTCTATTCTTCTATGTTTTGGATAGGGGATATTATAGTGGGAAAATCTATTATAGTATAGTAACCCCAAAGAAGATAGAAAAGTCTTTTGAAGGGGGTATTATACAGGTTCTTATGCTCGCACACATATATATAATTACGGTAACAACATTTAAATATGTGGAGGGCGGGCCGGGCCGCAAGGCCACGGAGGTAGTATGAAATACCAGTTTGTATGTTTAAATGTAGTTGTAGTATGTTTATAATAAATGAATTGGATTCCGTATGTTTAAATGGCTGGGCGGGCCAAGGAAAACCTTCCCGGAGGTAGTCTAAAATACCTGTTCGTATATTTAAAAATCCGTATATTTATATAAATGTAGTTACCGTATATATATATATAAATATAGTGGAATACCCCCTAGGGTCCTAGAGGAATACATGGAATACCCTCTGGTAATGAAACATAGCTTGCTGGAAAATCCACCATGGATAGTTCGTTGATTCTCCCATTGCAATTTTGATTACCGGAGGGTACAGGACATGAACAGAGCAGTAAGAAATTGGATGTGAAAACACTTTGTTAGGTGAGATGGTGGTTTACCCTCTGGTAAACCTTTACATAACTATGGACAATCACATTTTTTAAATATGTTTAATGGGTAAATCAACTAGTTCTATGGCCATGTTCAATAGCTTTTTGGATGTTTACCAGAGGCTATTTGTTGCCATTGCCACAGAAAATGTCAGGAATCCATGCGACTGATATCTTGGGACATCGACACCGGCCAGTTCCGGCGGCTCGGGAAGATCTCCACTGGATGGTTTTCCCACTCAAACCTCCATTTCTTGGATGAGTGGGAAATCCACATGATGCTTAAATCCCCTGTATTTGATGGTTAAATTCATTTAATCACCACAAAACATCATAGAAACACTACCATCTGGTTATTTAACATAGCTATGGAAAATTCACTATAAATGGAAGTTTGTAGCTGAGAAAATCATCTGTTTCTATGGGTGGCTTCCATAGCTATGTTAAACAGCCAGAGTGTAGTTGAGGGATTTTGATGGATTTCCCATTGCCACGGAGCACCGGAGCAGTTTTCCATACACAACTATAGATATAATTGCGTTTTAGTGTGTTTTTTTTCAGGATGGTTTCGCCATGTCTTACCATATTATATATTGTGGCAATCTAGCAGTTTGCCATGGAAGCCACGGCCCGTGAGAATAGATGATTTGCCTATGGAAGATGGTGCTTTTCCACAGCAAACTGGTTCGCGGAGGGAATTGATTTCCTCTGAGGGGTTGGCCAATGGATGAGATGATTTCCAGGAGCATCCCAATTGCTCCAGGTTGTCATGTTTTGATATGTTTGGATAAAAAATGACTGATCTTTCGATGACTGAGCACACAGTCATGGGTACCCACCCCTGTCCACTGGTTAATCATCATTGTCCCCCTCAAAATGGCGCTCGGCGGTAAACCCCCCATCAGACAGACCCACGAAAGTCCGACCATTGCAGGTCGCGAAATTTGAAACGCACTTCGTCATGCAGCTGTGTCAGCAGCCTATGTGTTTTATCCAGTGAGGGCAAGGCAGCCGAATGATATGATAGGGGTGTTTCAACCAAGTAAAACCAATGCCATAAACCATCCCCAATAGAGGTGAATTATTGGGTATACCCTCGGTATACCGCTGATGAATGGGATGGATTGTCGTTGGGTTCGTTGGATCAACAATGCCTGCCACTGCCAGCACTGCGTGCCAACTTCAACAGCATCGACTTCAGACTTCCAAAGCAGATACCAAAACATGTCACAAGAATATGAGGAACATGTTCACAGAGAGAGAGAGAGAAAAGATGGATATATATATATATGTATACATATATTATATAACTATATAGATAATTATATATAATACCTAGACCCTCCAAGTACCTACATCAGCAGAAATGGTGCTTGAAATTTGACCCAATAATTTCAGCACCTGTACCATTGTTTGGACCTATTATATGGAGGGCCTAGCTACGGATTTCAATAACAAACATGGTTTTCCCACTTTTTCCCAATAGTTTTCCCATATATTTTCTCATATTTTCCCATTGTTTCTCCATCATTTCCCCATAAGTTTCCCACGATTTTCCCATGAAAAATCCATGGATTTCCCCCAATTTTGCCCCCGCCAGGCGGACGAATCCGGCCACGACCAGCTCCTCGTGGGCGACAGCGCGGGCCTCGTCCGTGCGCTGCCGCTGCAGTCCGTGGCGGCCCTGCGCGGCCACGACGCGACGCGCTGCGGGGATGGCGTGCGGCTGAGAGCGGCGATGCGAAGTAAGTGACCAGTGCTGACCAGTGCTGGTTGAAGGGGATATGAGGATGGGTTAAAACCTATTAGAAAGATCACCCCACTCAGGAACTGGTGAAAATTACCATGATCATAGCCCATTTATAGATGGGAGATATAACTTTACCCACTGAATAACCATAATATACAATAATTTGTAATGTCAACCGCGGATGAGACTAAACCATGGTTTATGACAATTAGGGGGGTACTCCTCCAATAGTCATAATCTAATACTTAAATGGTACCCTCCCAATTAAACAGCCGTTTGGGGTTTATTAATCCAGGGTTGACATTATTTTCATATTTAGGGGAACAACCATCCATTAACCAGCTATTGTAGGGTACTTGGGTGGTTTTGACCCATAACCATATGAACAATAATTAGTTTCTTAATGGTTAAGTAAATGGCTAATTATCAATTATCCATTAACCATTGAGTAACTACAACCATTGGTTACTATAAGTTATTTATTGAATAATACTTCCATTGAGCCATAAATGGCTAATTATTTACAATACTTATTGGTCGATGGATGGATTAGGCATGTGGATGCCAGTGGTGGATGAAACGGTTTTTTACTTTGGCTAACTATGGTTAATCATAACTACTATGGATAACAATTTCATAATGAAACTGTTTCTGGTAAACCAACCAGTAAGTAAAGTAGACATGTGGCTAACATGATCACGACTATAGCCATGGACAATCAATAATTAGTTTCTATGGTTGATGAATGGATGCTTTCTATTTTTTAAAGGATAATTATTGGGTAATTAATGGATGTGAATGGAATATGAACAGTAATTAGTTGCTATGGTTAATTCTGATAATTGCGGTTGAACATTAACCATTCATATCTCAGAAGAGTTAGCAATATCCCAATTAATGGTTAATGAGCGGTTAATTAGTCACTGGATATAGTTAAGGATGAAGAATTAGTTGTTACAGTTAATATGATTATGGTCATATTGCATCAGGGGTCCACACTACCTGGTTTAGGTGCACAAAGTGGCACAAGAGTCTCACCTCACCTTGCGAAGCAAGGCTTTGTCTATAGCCCATGCCACCGCCTGGTGACCAAAATGTGAACGCATCCCTTGGTGCCTGCGGGTGCCTGATTGATCCTGGTTGACTCTGATCATGAAACCATGGGTGACCATGATCCATTGGATGTATGGTGACTGCAACACCATGTAATTTACAAAATAAGTGTGAGTTGAAAACCCACTTTTATTCACCATTCTGACCATCTGCCATAGATGATTCAGCTGATTCAGATTGTTGAACCCTAATATCAACATGGAATTCCCATGTTGAAGCACAATAATTGGAACATCTATTGGCCCACAATAGGTGTTTTATTTTTGTCCATTGGGAATTCCCATGTTCTCCCGCCCTCCCGCCAAAGCCAGGACCCTGAGAAACGGGTGCGGCTTTTCTCGGAGCATTGGTCCGAAGCTCCAGAGCTCACGGGGCCGACGCCATGGGACCAAATCATAAGACTTTATGGTTGGATAAACCACCATTTATAGTGGAAAAAACACTATTTATAGTGAATTTACCCATGAAAAATGGTGATAATTTCCATGGTATAGTGATTCAATGGGATATCAATGGGATTACCCTCTGGTTATGTCAAAATAGCTATTGAAGCCATGGTGATTTGATGGTTCATCTAATGGGATATAATGGGATATACCCTCTGGTAATTTGTGACATAGCTATTGAAACCATGGCCCAGTCGAAATAGTGGATTTACCATTATTTTAATGGTGATTTTCCATAGTTATGTAAAGGTTTACCAGAGGGTAACTATGGAGGATATGAGAACGACATATATATCATAAACCATGGGTTAATGGGATGGTGATGAGAAAAATGGGATGCTACTGAGGATGATTGATCTTTCATACAGTTTTGATGACAATTTGGTGATGATTATTTCCAGCTGTTAATTTGCGTCTTAACTTGTATGTGGTTTTCGATGGTTTTTGGCACATGTGGGGCACAATCGTTGTAGATTTGTGTGGCCCCGGTCATGGACACATGACATCTGCTGAATCTCCAAGGTCCCGCGTCTCCAGTCGAGCAATCAGTCATCCAGAGAGAATGGAGGCCAGAAACGGCTGGCTGGTGACCATGTGTGACGGGCAATATTTTAGGAGCTATGAAGAACATTGAAGATCAAGGGTCATGAAAAACAATGGTATATGAATGGAATGTATATATATATATATATATGGGATATGACTCCGGGAGATTGATAAGATGTTGATGCAACCCCAAACCATTGGATTTTCACATGGTATTGATCTTGGGATATCGTGGGGTACAGGGATGTAACATGATTTAACCATTGTAATGAGATAACATGGAAATACGACAAGCAACAATATTATGTGATAGTTGGGTGTGTCCAAGAATTGCGTATATCTACGCTATGGTCAGGTTAGTGAATAATTGTAACTCAGCTAGGAACATCTATCGTTTTTTAGGCCAGTCAGATTGAGTCAACCGATGGCTGACCGGTGCTGTGTTGATGTTTTTTGGGGATTTGGTGATGAAATTGGGCTGCAGCAGGTTGTCAGACTTCCCGGCTCTCATGGCTGCGGAAACATCAGCAGGCTGCGAGACAGGGGCGGTGGTTTTGGCCAGACATTGACTGTAGGAGACTTCAATCCTGTTTCTAGCATAGAGATGGGAGTTGGGTTTCATTCCTTGGAGAAATCGGGGTATTTTCAACGAATCTCTTAGTTTGTAGTGTCAGTTTGAGAGGGCATAGCTTCTCGTCTCAGAAGTGGATCCTGGTTGCGCCTGAGGTTTAGGAAGCATGTAGTATTAAGTACACCAACAAAGCTGGCTCGATACACACCCTGCTTTGCCAAAACCAACCATATTTATGAATTATAGTGACAAAACTGTGAAGTCACTGGAATGATGGTTTGGATTGAATAGCTGTATTTTATAGGTTGCGATTTACTGTATCCCAAACCATGGGTGATTTGAGCCCCCAGCTACCCCATGCACTTCCTGAGGCCATTGCCGTTGCTTCCTGCTGGTCTCATGCAAATGCGACAGTTTTGGGCCCGAGCTTCACATGGATATCCATGGGGCGGCGGCATGCGTGAATAGTCTAGTTGTTGCTTGCTTTTGTAGAATCTCTATTTGATGGGCATCTCCTGGCCCTTTCTCAAGGCTGTTGCCGAAGTTGTTCAGCGGTCATTGCGACATGGGTGAGGTGGAGGATGGCGGACTCAGTGCTTCGGGGCTGTTCTCCAGATTTGTGTTTTGAAAGAGGTTCGTCACGGTTGGTTTTTGGATGGACAAATAATCCTGGCCAAGCTTCCTCACCCGGGAAATTTTGCAGGACTGGGCGCACAAGGCCAACTTCATTTTGGTGGATTTGAGCACTGGCCAGGTGGGAAGATGATGAAGAAAGGCTTTGACATGCTTGGAACAGTCCCAAACATGTGGGATTTATCCGCATGTTCCCATATTTTCCCTTTCATAAATGATTTTCTTGATGAGCAAAATGGATGGTTTTTGCCTCTTTTTTTTCCGCTAAACCCATATTGTGTCAGTACTGGTTGGTGGTTTGGAACATTTGGATTATTTTCCCATTCAGTTGGGAATGTCATCATCCCAACTGACGAACTCCATCATTTTTCAGAGGGGCAGGTATACCACCAACCAGTTTACCATTAATCATTAATTATATATTAACCATTATTAACCATTATTAACCACTATTAACCACTATTAACCACTATTCAGAGGGGTAGGGCTCAACCACCAACCAGAACATGACATGTGCAGTCGTCCCACCATTTCCCAGTCCATTCTTTTTTCGCTTCCAGGCGCTACTGGTGGGCACAGGGGTGCAGCTTGTCCTGCCAGCAGCTTGCTATGATGGAGCCCCGATGCTTATCCCACTCCGAAGTGATATATATATGTAATGATATATATATATATATATAATTATACATATATACACACACATAATATGGGTAATTATAAATATACATATATGCCATTATGTAAATATTAATGTACAATATGATGCTACATATGATGCGCTCTCTCTTTATATATAATTATACAATATTATCCACACCTTCTACATGAAATTTGGAAAGTTCCAGATTCCATTGCTTCACTGGGATCAACGCAGGGAATTTTGATCGGCACGGATCACCAAGGATTCGTCCCGGCTCAGCATGGAGCATGGATCAGAGGTGGACATCTGTCTCGGGTGAACATCATGACTGGGGGGCTAAATAAAAGCTAAGTTGGTTTACAATTCCAAAACCAAGGGAGAAAGATGCCTCTATACTTGGAGGTAACAAACACCTTATAACATCTTATAACTAACTTAAAACATCTAGGGGGCCCCGGTCCGTAGAAATTGTTCGAGGAACCCAGACCAAACGGACCGCCGTGGACCGCTGAAACTGGGCTCAGCTTAGCAGCGAAGATGCTGCCATCGAAACCGCAGCCTCAAGGAGCGCCGATCGCTACGATCCATGGGGACTTCAGATGTGAAGCAACGGGTGAAGCAACTGAAGTAAGGAAATATATATATATATATATAACTTATATAACCAAAAAGTATGATTCAATGAATTTAGGGATAAAACCAACAAACATGGTGATTTAGTGGGGATAGAACCAACAGGTGTGGTGATTTAACGGGTTATAAATGGTAATTCATGGGTCATTGATGGAATATAACAGTGATTTAATCATGGAAGATTAGATTTTCATGGGCTATTGATTTTGGAGTATCTACCAATATTTTGGGATATATAGAGATTTAAGTCTTTTGATGGGATATAATGATAATGATATATATGAGATAAATAACCAGCAAATGTTGTATTTGTTGCCATTATGATGGGAATGATGGTGATATAAACAACCAACAGATTCAACAGATGTATGATGTTTGGGTGTGCCTGAAAATCGGGGATTTGCCCCACACATGGCAATTTCGGAAGAGGAACATGGTGATCAAGCATGTGATTCTGGGGCGCCCTTTATTCCGACAAACCCACACGAAACAATTCCTTTATACATGAAGACTTAAATAGGAAAATTTCGGAAAATCATCTATAAATGGTGGATATTCCAGCTAGCCATGTTTGTTTTCCAGGGTATTTGTTCACCCATTACTTCAATATCCTCAAACCTTAGGTGAATCTACGAGAACCCTGGCTTCAACAACACGAAGATTAACGGATTTTCCTGGATTCAAGCGGTTTTCTATCTACAACAGCAACATATCCCCAAGATATCTGTGAAATCCCCATCTAAATGGCTATACACTCACATTTTATAATGGTTAAATCACCAATTCATACCCCAGCAATACGAATATCAATCCTTTTTGGTGAATATCACCTTAATATCTCATAAAATATCACCATTAATTCTCATTACCCTCTGGTAATTTAACATAGCTAGTGAAAATGACCCATTTATAGTTGATTTCCCTATAAAAGATGGTGATTTTCCAGTTTGCTATGTTAGTTTATCAGAGGGTAACCCACATTTCATCCCATCTAAGTGGGGATATTCGGATATTCCAGGAAAATCGAAGTGGTTCTATGGATCCATTTTATCCATACATCATCATATATCCCATATATAACCCATTAAAAACCGGCCACATTTTTCCAGGAGATGCTCGGGAGAAACCCGGGCCGGTTCAGCGGCACAGCTGTACAGCTGGGGGGCCTAGAAACCCTCTGGTTATGTCAAAATAGCTATTGAAAATGATCATAGAAATAGTTGATTTACTATGATAAATGGTGATTTTCCAGTTTGCTATGTTAGTTTACCAGAGGGTATATATATATATATTCATTTAATGTGGTTAAAACAATAAGAAAGCACTAGAATTTGGGAATGGTAAACATACCACCTATAAAAATGGTGATGACTGGGGGGATGGTTTATGACATTGTTTTACTCGCATGATGGGAAATTTACTTCGTGGTTCATCCCAGTTAGTAAGATTACGGGCAAACACCTCGATTTGCCCGCGCTTGTCGGCGGCCATCTTCGTATGTGCTGAAAACGTGGTAAAAATTGGAGTTTTTTGCATCATGGCTAACTTCATGTTGTATATCGGCACGCACAGCATAGGGACCTGTGCGAGACTCTTACACATCATCATCATCATCATCATCATCATTAAACCCTTATTGAAGATCTTCAACGAATGTAGAAGTTTAACGGGGGTCGGAGAATTAAACCCTTATTGAAGATCTGATCTTCAATGGATGTAGAAGTTTAACGGGGGTGGGAGAATTAAACCCTTATTGAAGATCTTCAATGAATGTAGAAGTTTGACGAGGGTGGGAGAATTAAACCCTTATTGAAGATCTTCAATAAATGTAGAAGCTTTAACGGGGGTGGTAGAATTAAACCCTTATTGAAGATCTTCAATGAATGTAGAAGTTTGACGGGGGTGGGAGAATTAAACCCATATTGAAGATCTTCAATGAATGTAGAAATTTAACGGGGGTGGGAAATTTATATTCCCTAAATTACCTTGTTGATCTTCCCAATTGAATGTAAAGTCTAACGTTTGATATCCCCAAGTGTACAGCATAGAAGGGGTGTGGGCGAATCGGGGTGTTTGCGCGCAAGATTATTAAGCAGGTTATTACCCCGGTTATAAAGGAGCTAAGTAGGATTACTCCACTTATGACCAGGGTTATAACCCACTTATTAACTGGGATGAACGACCAAGTATGGGATTTAAGAACCAACTAATAAGCTCATAGCAATTGACCATGGAATACCATGGATATCCAATGGGATTTACTCATGTCATTTGAATAATGGGAAAATTTATATGAGATATTCATGGGATACTCCTAACCAACCTATAATATTTGGATGTGTCTGAAAATGGGGTAAATATCAGGTAAGTATCCCATGATACTTAATAGACTAAAACTTATGTTATAGCCAATGCTGCCAAAAAATGGTTGACATATTTGAAGTCCAATATGAACAGTATTACCCTCTGGTAAACGAACATAACTATGGAAAATCACCACTTTTAATGGGTAAATCAACTATAAATGCTCATTTTCAATAGTTCTTTGTATGTTTACCAGGCCGGGTACGTGGCACCCCAAAACCATCAACCTTGGATTAATTCGTGATGGGCCTGATGGAAATGATGGTGGCCAAAGGTCATCCGATATCTATGGCCAGAGCGTCTGGATGGGGGGGAATTTTACATGTGAGCAGACGAAACTACCAAACAATGGTTGACATGATTTAAACAAAAAACATGTAAACAACCACGACCAGAATGATGATGACAATGAAGTCCACTTTGATGTCATTTATTTGCAAGAGTAGTGATGAACCAACACCTGAAAAATGTGAAAAAAAACACATAATGATTAATAATCATGTTGTTTTCTGAGGTTACGAAGTTGTGATATCACGAGGATGACGTTTGTTGCTATAGTATAGATGTACCACTTTTTTCCCACCGAACCATCGCCATGATGCCGTGATGCCGTGCTGGTGGCGTCCGCAGGATTTGCCCTGCGTTCTGCTCTTCTTCGGTCATGTGGGCGTCTTTTGGTACTTGGCCGTGCAAGGCCTTCAGCAAGGCCTGCGGAGCCTCCAGGGTGTGCCGGATGTCTCTAAATGTATGTTGGGTCTATTGTCCTGCCAGATATTGGGAAGGAGAAAAATCATGTGGGTATGGATGAACAGTTATGAATCCATTTTTTTTGGGATTAAACATCCATGAATCCCAACTATTTTGATGTGAAAACCAAGGGATTCTATGGCTTTTGACCCATCACCATGTGCTGAACGCCTGGCGCCTGGCCCCCCCTCTTTACAAAGATGCGTTAGGCGACTTGCAACGACTTTATTTGCCCCGAGACTTCCGCGGTGCTTTCTGCGGGGTGAGCACAGGCCGCGGTTGGCAATGATGAATGTGATGATTCATCATGATGTGATGGGCATATTAGGACTTGGAAATGCTTGGGTCCGATCATTATAGCTTCGATGATGGCTATGATATGCTATATTGGTGGAGATTCTACAGTAATTTGGCTGTTTAATCATGTTTGGTGAGCGTGACGCTAGTGGTGGTGGCATTAACGCCAGTTTACTTGCTCCAGTGATTCGCCTTGCAGGACAAGCGGACATGACATCCTACCCCAAGTTGGCCTTTGCAATGAACGCCGGGGAAGCTTGTTCGTACAAATGGAAAAGCGCAAGAGATGTTTCTACAAATTTTGTTCCGAGAACCTATGGATATATGATGATATATGGCTATGCTCGTGCCAATTGTTTGTTAGCAGCCGATGCTGTGCGACCATCGGTATGTTTGAAATCTACTTCCTGACCTGTTTTGATTGATACAATACATGATGTATTTACAGCAATGAACCTTGAACAACACGGCAAAAGGCTTTCTGCTCATTTCTATTGGAGTCTCAGTCTCTATCTCTTCACACATGTATATACAGTTTTCAAATGTAATATCGGTAACATATTATATATATACTGCTTCTTTTTTTCCAGAAGTAAATCCTTAGCCCTCCAGCTACTAATTTGTATACACATAGTATATATATATAAGGTATGCAACTTACTAATATATGATTGGTACGTTTAACCCATTTTTCTGGTGACTTGGAGGGTTACTAGCTGCACCGCGGTTGTCCTTCAAGGAAGTCTTGGACAAGCTGGCGTTGCAGGCCGGGCAGGTGAATGTGGAAAACCCAATGCCACAAACCTACCATTTAGGGATGGTTTCCTGGTTGGTGGTTTGGAACATTTCTTATTTTCCCCAATAGTTGGGATGATGATCCAATCTGACGAATATTTTTCAGAGGGGTTGAAACCACCAACCAGTTTCAATCGCACTCATTTATGGTGATTTAGGGGTTATGATGTGGATTTACATACCACATTATTGTTATTTCAATATGTTATTATTTACTGGGATTAATTGATAATAATAGGATAAGCAATTCGATACCATTCGATAGTTATGGGCTTATGGGATAATAACGGGAGTTTACGGTTAAAATGTGGTAAACTGGTAAACCTATCAAATCAACAATTATACGTAGTTATTTGGAGATGTTCATCTCTAGTTGGGAGATGCTATTCTGTTTGGCATTGGATTCCTTTTCATATTTTGGACTGAAATCCAAGGATTCTCTTTTCAACGTCCTTGGATATGTTGTTATGTTGAAACTGAATATCTGTATATCTGTTGTTGAACAGCGAGGAAACAGAAAAGCTTGTGACACTACTAGATATCCTGGCCATATGCTTCCCAATTTTCCCTTGTTGCAGCAAGCTGGCCCCATTTAAACCATTGGTTATGAAGCCTGCACCATGATTATCGCCCATTCATGGATTATCCGTAGGTGGTCGCGGTCAAAGCCATACAAATCCCAGAAAACTCCTGCACCAGTAGAATCCCACTTGGCGGGTTGCGGCGTCCGCGAGGCCTTGTGTTCTGACGCTACAAGATCGCAGTTAACGGACGCAGAGCAGGCCGCCTGTACGACATCAGGCGGGAGCGGATGGTGTTGCTGGAACTTCTTAGTAGATAGCCTCAGATCAGCATCATGGCAATGGGGATGTGATTTTTTTCGTGGTTTTATATGGTTTTAAAATGTGTTTTTTGTTTTTTATAAAACAAATCACACACACACATATATATATATATATGTTGGTTTGAGATGTTCAACTGCTTGTTTTGTATTGGCGGGTAAAACCGCATTGTACCATTCCTGTTTGCAGTCTATAGGTATCAAACTGCAATCACTTTCATACTGTGCCGCTCCGGAAAGCAGGTTCATTGAACGAGGTGAATGATGTGGTGTCCAAGTTGGAACAGAGTATGACAGAAGCCTGGCTAATTTCAAGCTCGGATTCATGAACTTTGGTTGATTTATTTTGAGAGGTTCCCCCCAAATAAATAATTTATAAGTGATAATTTGCTACTTAAATGGTACCCGAATATTAGACCTAGGACCTATAGGACTTTATCAATCCGTTTTTTTGTTAAATGCCGGTGGATGCCGGTGGTCCTTTCTGGAGTCCAGAAACTTGGCCTGCTTTCCATGTCGGATTGTCCACAGCTTGGGGTTATTCCCTGTCCGTTGAAGATTTTTGGATTCCCATGTCATTTAAGAAATGCTCTCCGATAATTCAACATAGTGCTATGGAAAATGACCGTTTATAGATGATTGAATCCCTATGAAAAACGCGGTAATGTTCAAACATGTTCAAAAGCTACGTGAAACTACCAGAGGTATTCTGAAATCCCTGCCATGATCTTGTCCATCAATCTTCGACAGCATCTAGGACCCAGCGGCGGCACTGCAAATGGCTGGGAGCTTTCCTACGCCCACCTCAGAAACTTGTTGGCAATGTACCCACAGGCGATCATAGCCCCATATCCATGATCCATACATCTCCAAGTGATATGATCCATACCCAAAAGTGACAAGTTGTACTTCTACCAGGCCACTTTAGTGTACCTTCTCAGTAGGTCCGGATCAAACCTCTCATACATATCTCACTCGTTCCATACCTCCAGATTACCGATCCATGCCGTTTTTTTTGAGCCATACCCATAAAAAGCTGGTCGGCAGGTCATGATTTTGTCGATGTTCTTCAAGTTGTTGAACTTATTACTTACACCCTTGATACCCCCAACTACTAAAGGGTTTGAAATGGTATACCAGGGGCTCTCCCGAGGGGGGGTCTAGAATGGTATTTTTTCATGTTAGACCCCAACCCCCTGATGATCTCAGACCCCTCAACATAGGTTTTTATCATACCTTTCATAATCATAATAGACCCCAAAACTGATGATTCCAGACCCCCCACCGTTTAGGTCTAATATGATCAATCTCATTTTTGACAATTTGAGGGGGTGGTTTCACCCTAGACCCCTTTTTGGGGTCTGGCATCATTCAACCCCCCCCAAAACTTCCTCCCACATTTGGGGTCTAAAATCTAAAACGTAAAGGGGGGGGTTACAAAAAAGATATACCCTGCTACGTTATCTCACGTAACTTGATGTACAGTTTTAATTGGTTTTAACGGGTTTCCTACGTTTTTGATTGTTTTCGTATGTTTTTTGATGTGGTTAGGATCTGTGTGATCTCAAAGTATTTTTGTTTGTGCATGATTTTTTTGACATGCAAATTTTGATGGTGAATGCTGGTGAATGGATGCAGTGATCATTTTTTGCATTCCGCACGTTTCGGAGTTGCCATTTGGCACAAACCTGTCCTGCTTCATCCGTCTGCAAACTTTGTTACTGTTGCAATGCCGACTCAAAAGCCTGAAGCTGCCCGCTGCTGTGAAACTCGTCCTGATTTTATTTGATTCCTGAGTGGCCGCAAGTGATTGATCGTTCATTTTTTGTTTCATTGGGGGTCTGAAATGGTATTTTGCATCATCAGCTGTTGAAAGAATGGTTCAACCTCCAAGTAAGACCAACCTAGACCCTCTATTGTGAGCCTATGCCTTGTTTGTGAGCTCTACATGATTTTTCTTGCATATTTTGAAATGATGTCCAATTGAATGGTGTGTGAACCTTGAAATACGACCCTTTTTGTTAATGTGTTTTTGTCCCAACAGGTTGAAAGTCCCAACAGAAAATGCCAGGGGTTGAGCTGTGGAATTCAGTTTTTTTTGTTTCATTGGGGGTCTGAAATGGTATTTTGCATCATCAGCTGTTGAAAGAATGGTTCAACCTCCAAGTAAGACCAACCTAGACCCTCTGTTGCGAGCCTGTGCCTTGTTTGTGGGCTCTACATGGTTTTTCTTGCATATTTTGAAATGATGTCCAATTGAATGGTGTGTGAATCTTGAAATACGACCCTTTTTGTTAATGTGTTTTTGTCCCAACAGGTTGAAAGTCCCAACAGAAAATGCCAGGGGTTGAGCTGTGGAATTCAGTTTTTTTGTTTCATTGGGGGTCTGAAATGGTATTTTGCATCATCAGCTGTTGAAAGAATGGTTTAACCCCCAAGTAAGACCAACCTAGACCCTCTATTGTGAGCCTATACCTTATTTGTGAGCTCTACATGGTTTTTCTTGCATATTTTGAAATGATGTCCAATTGAATGGTGTGTGAATCTTGAAATACGACCCTTTTTGTTAATGTGTTTTTGTCCCAACAGGTTGAAAGTCCCAACAGAAAATGCCAGGGGTTGAGCTGTGGAATTCAGTTTTTTTTGTTTCATTGGGGTCTGAAATGGTATGTTGCATCATCAGCTGTTGAAAGAATGGTTTAACCTCCAAGTAAGACCAACCTAGACCCTCTGTTGCGAGCCTATGCCTTGTTTGTGAGCTCTACATGGTTTTTCTTGCATATTTTGAAATGATGTCCACTTGAATGGTGTGTGAATCTTGAAATACGACCCTTTTTGTTAATGTGTTTTTGTCCCAACAGGTTGAAAGTCCCAACAGAAAATGCCAGGGGTTGAGCTGTGGAATTCAGTTTTTTTTTGTTTCATTGGGGGTCTGAAATGGTATTTTGCATCATCAGCTGTTGAAAGCATGGTTCAACCTCCAAGTAAGACCAACCTAGACCCTCTATTGTGAGCCTATGCCCTATTTGTGAGCTCTACATGGTTTTTCTTGCATCTTTTGAAATGATGTCCAATTGAACGGTGTGTGAATCTTGAAATACGACCCTTTTTGTTAATGTGTTTTTGTCCCAACAGGTTGAAAATCTCAACAGAAAATGCCAGGGGTTGAGCTGTGGAATTCAGTTTTTTTGTTTCATTGGGGGTCTGAAATGGTATTTTGCATCATCAGCTGTTGAAATAATGGTTCAACCTCCAAGTAAGACCAACCTAGACCCTCTATTGTGAGCCTATACCCTATTTGTGAGCTCTGCATTGTTTTTCTTGCATATTTTGAAATGATGTCCAATTGAATGGTGTGTGAATCTTGAAATACGACCCTTTTTGTTAATGTGTTTTTGTCCCAACAGGTTGAAAGTCCCAACAGAAAATGCCAGGGGTTGAGCTGTGGAATTCAGTTTTTTTTGTTTCATTGGGGGTCTGAAATGGTATTTTGCATCATCAGCTGTTGAAAGCATGGTTCAACCTCTAAGTAAGACCAACCTAGACCCTCTGTTGCGAGCCTATGCCTTGTTTGTGAGCTCTACATGGTTTTTCTTGCATATTTTGAAATGATGTCCAATTGAATGGTGTGTGAACCTTGAAATACGACCCTTTTTGTTAATGTGTTTTTGTCCCAACAGGTTGAAAGTCCCAACAGAAAATGCCAGGGGTTGAGCTGTGGAATTCAGTTTTTTTTGTTTCATTGGGGGTCTGAAATGGTATTTTGCATCATCAGCTGTTGAAAGAATGGTTCAACCTCCAAGTACGACCAACCTAGACCCTCTATTGTGAGCCTATACCCTATTTGTGAGCTCTACATGGTTTTTCTTGCATATTTTGAAATGATGTCCAATTGAATGGTGTGTGAATCTTGAAATACGACCCTTTTTGTTAATGTGTTTTTGTCCCA